CACTCTGAAGGAAGGGTGGGGTAGTTGCAGTTCGGAGAGTCATTTAAAATATGATGTCTAGGCAATTCTGGCAAGATAGTTATGGAATGAGTGATGGTGAATGTGTTTCCTCTTTTGGGTCACCCTACCTTGGTAGGAGACGGGCGATGTCTTATAAAAACTGCCTCGGTACGCTAATGGGAACTGTAGTAATGAGTTGCCAATTTTTAGTTGCATTTTTCACTTTTCTCTTTTTTTTTAATTAGTTTTCCCCTCTAATTTGGGGCCCCATTTAACTTGGTAACTTTAAGTGACCTAGTGTTTCACCTGTGTGGACAGGTTATCCCCGTGACTTACACCTGTACATGCATGATATGAATACCGGCAAGATGAAGAATTAGACACATGTGCAACATCTGGGTATTTTTATTGTAGATGTTTCGCCATCCAGTGGCTTTATCAATACAAATTGAAAAGACATAACTGGAAGACACTAGAACTATATACAAAAGATGAGGTAATCAGTCTCTCATCCTTGGAGTTTGATGAAGAGCACCGTAGTCGTGAAGAGTCGAACCACAGTCATGAAGACTGGCACTTATATACTGGCGTCAGGTGAGGGACGTGCAGCAGACGAAGGCATTGTCACTGGTAGGAAGGATTCTTCAGTGGAAGTATTGATAAAGCCACTGGATTGCGAAACATCTGCAATAAAGACACCCAGATGTTGCACAGGTGTCTAGTTCTTCATCGTGACTTACACCTGTTACACCAGTTTACCAAATAATAGCTAATTGGGTGTTTGTCGTGGGTACCTGTGTATTCGTTGTGAGTTCCCGTGTATTTGTCGTGAGTATCTGTGTATTTGTTGTGGGTAGTGGGTACCTGTGTTTGTTGTGAGTACCTGTGTTTGTCGTGGGTACCTGTGTTTGTTGTAGGTACCTGTGTTTGTCGTAAGTACCTGTGTTTGTTGTAGGTACCTGTGTTTGTCGTAAGTACCTGTGTTTGTCGTGGGTTCCTGTGTTTGTAGTAAGGTGGGAGGTAGAATACCTAAGATGCGGTTAGACTATGAAAGCTTCTTAAATAGGATAACAACTCGTAGTCTGTAAATTCAACGGTAAGTTTATTCAGGTACAGGTACACATAAATGCAGTTACATAAACTGTCATACATAGCAGCATATGTTTAGATTACCTAGTATAATCCAGAAAAAAGTCAAAGTGACTTATTTCCATTAGGGTCCTTGTAATATCTTATTATGTAAGTTGGTGTTAATAAAAAAAGTTACTTTATGTAGAGGCAGTCTGTGAGGCAGTAACCAAAGCATAATTAATTAAATCATCACAAATTAAACAATCATAACAGTCAATAGTGCAATTTTTAAATTTGGTCCATATGATTTTACATTGTTTTTGGCATTTCCCTTTTAATTTTACAATTATTATTCTTAATTATTTGGTTAAATGTTTAATTAGGTTTAAAACTTGGCGTTAGGAAATCATTAAGGCTACATGTAACCTGTATACTATCATAGACACAGTGGATACTCTGAAAGTAAACTTTAAGTGGATATGATTTTGATAATTTCTTGATATACACTGTATATCATTTGTATAATATACTTGTTTTTGCATATTATATAAACACAATTTCACTTCCCGTGAAGGAGGACACCAATGGAAATCAGTTACTGAGTCTTTTGGGGTTATCCTAGGTAATTTACACATATTATTAGGTATAATAATTATAATTATGTGTACTGCCCCAAATGCCTAGGCCTGCAAGTGGCCTTCTTTGTAATTAAGATTTATAACATGTAAGCCACACATTGTAAACTTTATAAGGAAACAGACATTGTTATTGTTTGAAGCTTGTAACACCATAGTTATGCAAACCATATCAGACACACTAAGACTAGAATTTAAAATTACTAAACAGTGAATACTTAAAAATTAGGGTATTCGAAGGAATTTTAATGTAATGGTATCTTCAGGTAAATTATCGCACTAAGACACATGCAACAGTTCGGTATCTTTATTGATCAGATGTTTTGCTTATACGGTAGACTTCTTCAGTTATATCCGGAGGAGAATGAATAAATAAATATGTAGACAGCAGTAGACAGCAGGTTCATGGGCCGATGTGATCGGCCCATGAACCTTGAAGGATTTCTTGAGGTGGTTAGTCCCTCAGCCTGGAGAGTTCAGCGCCAGGTTAAGGGACTGACTACCTTCAGGATTGATGGACTGATCACATTATCTTTACTACTGCTGTCTACATATTTATTCTCCTCTGAATTTGACTGAAGAAGCCTACCGTGTAGGCGAAACGTTTCAACAATAAAGATACCCAACTGTTGCACATTTGTCTTACTCATTGACTTGTCGATATTGTATATAATTTCCAATGGTTGACTTTTTTTGAGAGGTTTATCACAGGTCAACTCTGCATAATGATAATATTCTTTATTTCTATAAGTACAGTGTTCAATTAACATAGGCTTAATTGACTTAATTAACATATTTTATAGAAAGCTCCAGGTTATGTCCAACATTTCGAACAGCCTTAAAATTAGCTTATAACTACTGAACAAGTGTTTAATTAGGTTACTAGACTGCTATAGTTTGCAGTCTCTGACATTATAAATAAAAAGTTGCTTTATGATTTATTGTGTGTGTTTGTGTGTGACCTAATTCATGTCTGCATAAATAATTAATTACGCTTGTGACCGGATATAAACATGTAAACAGTTCATTACCAGTGTAACTTGTTCAGCTGTCATAACTTTGTGGTCCACTCCCTGAACCCATTGTGTACCTCTGTGATCTTTTGACTGCTACCCACACCATGGGTATGTGGTGACTGCCACCCACACCATGGGTATGTGATGACTGCCACCCACACCATGGGTATGTGGTGACTGCCACCCACACCATGGGTATGTGGTGACTGCCACCCACACCATGGGTATGTGGTGACTCCCACCCACACCATGGGTATGTGGTGACTACCACCCTAACCATGGGTATGGGATGACTACCACCCACACCATGGGTATGTGGTGACTGCCACCCACACCATGGGTATGTGGTGACTGCCACCCACACCATGGGTATGGGGTGCATATTAAAGATATTAAACTGACTATGATTTAAGATATTTCGGATTTTTATTTATAACAGCTTGGTTTAAGATTTGTAGTGATAAATACTGAGGTAGAATTTATTTTCGGTTATAACATGTGTTGTAATATATTGGTGATAACAGGAACAGGGTTGCTGTTGATAGAATGGATATATAACATTATCTGTGTATAATTCAGGTCACATTAAAGACGTGTTTTAATAGGAATAATAATGTGGAAAATTGCATTTATCTGAATGTAACTAATTATGTACATAACAGTAAATGATAACAAAAATAATTATTATTTATCAATGTTACATAGACAAGTAGGAATTTGGGACACCTAGGTCGCAAAAAAATGTCCCCCTTCGATACCTACCACTGTCATAACCACAAGTTGCTCTGGACCTATTAATTAAATGAAATATACATACACCAGGAATACTGGTAAATATATAAATTTTGTGGACTGTATATTAAAAATAATAAATGGTTATGTATATACACAATTACATAACAGAAGGAAAATATATTTTAATATCACTCACCAATTTGACTGGAGATTAATGTATATCATACTCAGAAAACCTCACTCTAACTAAATCTATGAAAATAATGCTGGCCAGAATTACACACAAATCTAGAGAGCTTATCTGAGGTTCCTGGAGCTGTCTTGTCCAGTCGTCTGATATCTCAAGTTATGCAGGAATGCACATCCACCAATTTCGCCTCCTATTTGAGAGGTGTCAACACAATTTTAACCTCTAGAGCACGAAAAATTCTTCCCATTACACCAACGTTTGTACAAAATTCAAAGCCAAGATGGCGAGTCTCGTCTGCCCAGACGCAGGCTTTCCGTTTTCTATGACATAAATATTATTAAATACAGTATGGCCATCTATTTACATATAAATACTGAATTTCTGGAAAATATATACAGTATTTTCCACAAATAATAATAATAATAATAATAATAATAATAATAATAATAATAATAATAATAATAATAACACAGTATAATACAATACAATTTTTATTTCTTTGCAAGTTTACATTGAAATTCTGTAGATACAATAATGAGTTGCAGTGCAAAGAGCCACTAACATGCCATGGCATTATGGGCATCGATACCATGCCTAACCCTTTTAGGGTAGGGTAGGTAAGTAAGTAAGTAAGTAAGTAAGTAAGTTTATTCAGGTATACACAAATACAGTTACATAGAATTATCATATATAGCAGCATATGTGTAGAGAACCTAGGATAGCCTTTAGCTCATAAGACTGTCATTCCCATTTGCCCCCTTGTGGCTGGGATGGCAGACCAGAGAGGCCTAGCTTGTGGCTAGGCCTGTTGACAGTTGGTCCCAAAGATGAGGAGGTACTTGTGCCTCCTCCCATGGGAGACTTAGGTCTCAGACACTCCCTAAAGAGGGAGCCAAGGCCGGGCCACCACTTGGAAAAGGCCCGGGCCGGGAGAATACCGGCTAATCTTTAATAATAATAATAATACATTATGGGCAGATTAAATTAATGGCTTACAGACTATACTTAATACTAGAGAAATTGATCATTGTTTGCTTAAGTTGTACATCTGTTTTTATTTAAAGCAGACAGTAAGTTAGCTCAAATTACAATTCAAATTCAAATTCAAATTTTACTTTTGTTCATGCGGTACAAAAATAATGTAGTTTATATGTAATAAATCATTGTTAAATCAAATTCAGTCATTATTAAAAGAAAGCCACCAGTATGTGATGTATTCGGGCAAATTTTTATGTAGTTTCACGTGCCCATAAGACGCATACTTACTTACTTACATGTGGATTAAACACCATTGCAAATAAAAAAAGTGTTATATACGAAAAGTCTAAACCTAAAGTTAATAAAAACAGAAGATAGGTAATAAGGTTTTAGTGGAGTAGTGTGGTATAATAGATGTTTTAGTGGTGTAGTGTTTAGTGTTGTTGTTGTTGGCCGCCGCCAGGGAGGTGAGCAGCACCATGGCTTCAGACACCAGTCAACATGTTCTTTATAACGCTAATGATGCCGTGAGTAATTCTCATGGGTTTTTAGTAATTCTTATGGTTTATTTAGTTTTGTGAGTGATGACTGGATCTGACTAGCTTATTTCAGTGTATTGTGTACTTGTACTACTAGTAATATTGTTTCTGCTTATGTGCCCCTCAAGGGAGGTTCCTTTATGCTAGTGAAGGGCTCTTGATCTAGGGAACTGGATTTGTGCTCCAGTTCCCTTAATTACGCCAGAATACCTTCCATCCCCCCCTCACAGGAAGTGTATAATCCTACGAGTTTAGCGCTTTCTTTGATTATAATAATAATTCTCTGTGCAACATCAAAATTATCAATCTTATAAACTTATAAAATTTTGACTATCTTGCATTAGTAATAAGATTAAATATTGTATAATTAAAAATTAACCACTTTCATTTTGTCTAGACTTAAGTAGTTTTTAAGTGTTAGGATTAGTCTGCCCGAAATGCCCCTCATGATAATGGCTTTCTTTGTACCTAACACATCAAAAATGTAATTTACACATTGTAACCTTTGCAAAGAAATAAATCTTTGTCTTTGTCTTGACATGGGCCAGTAGACCTGCCGCAGTGCTCTTTCTTTCTTATATTCTTGTTTCTTATTTCGTATTTCTTAGGAATCCACCTTGACAACAGCCTTAAATTCCAGACCCATATACAACAAATTTCCAAGAAAATCTCTAAGACGGTGTGCATACTATCAAAGATACGGTACTGTGTTCCACAATCGGCTCTCCTTGCACTGTATTACTCACTCATATACCCTTATCTCACCTACGGAATTTGTTCATGAGGATCAACAACATTAAATCACCCAAGACCACTAATAACCCAGCAAAAGGCTGCAGTCAGAATAATAACAAATTCTCACTCCAGAAAACATACTCCACCAATATTCAAAGGTCTAAAACTACTCACCGTAAAGAACATCCATGGAAATATAAACACACATGCAGTATAATGTGATCCTTTAATGATAACGTTTCACCCACACAGTGGGCTCTTTCAAGCCACAAACAAAATTCAATTTAAACCAGCAAATAATAGAGCCTACTAGACTGGAGAATACACTAGACCTCATCTTCACTAACAATGATGATCTGATACGAAATGTCACCATATCAAAAACATTATACTCAGATCACAACATAATTGAGGTTCAGACATGTATGCGCGGAGCCCCAGACCAACAATGAGATTAGTCACGAGGGAGTATTCACCAAATTCAACTTCAATAACAAAAACATAAAGTGGGACCAAGTAAACCAAGTCCTAACCGATATAAGCTGGGAAGATATACTAAGCAACACAGACCCCAACTTATGCCTAGAACAGATTAACTCGGTGGCACTCGATGTATGCACAAGGCTTATTCCTCTAAGAAAAAGGAGGAGTAGATGTAAAATAGAAAGAGAGAGGCGCTCCCTTTACAGGCGACGGAAAAGAATAACAAAGCGGCTAAAAGAGGTCAATATATCTGAAATGCGTAGGGAGACACTGGTCAGAGAAATAGCAAGCATCGAACTTAAGCTAAAGGAATCTTATAGGAGTCAGGAATCGCGGGAAGAACTAAAAACCATAAATGAAATCGAAAGAAACCCAAAGTATTTCTTCTATGCCAAATCAAAGTCGAGAACAACATCCAGTATTGGGCCCCTACTTAAACAAGATGGGCCCTACACAGATGACAGCAAGGAAATGAGTGAGCTACTCAAGTCCCAATATGACTCGGTTTTTAGCAAGCCGCTAACCAGACTGAGAGTCGAAGATCAAAATGAATTTTTTATGAGAGAGCCACAGAATTTGGTTAACACAAGCCTATCTGATGTTATCCTGATGCCAAATGACTTCGAACAGGCGATAAATGACATGCCCATGCACTCTGCCCCAGGGCCAGACTCGTGGAACTCCGCGTTCATCAAGAACTGCAAGAAGCCCCTATCATGAGCTTTTACCATCCTATGGAGAGGGAGCATGGACATGGGGGTCGTCCCACAGTTACTAAAAACAACAGACATAGCCCCACTCCACAAAGGGGGCAGTAAAGCAATAGCAAAGAACTACAGACCGATAGCACTAACATCCCATATCATAAAAATCTTTGAAAGGGTCCTAAGAAGCAAGATCACCACCCATCTAGAAACCCATCAATTACACAACCCAGGGCAACATGGGTTTTAAAACAGGTCGCTCCTGTCTGTCTCAGCTATTGGATCACTATGACAAGGTCCTAGGTGCACTAGAAGACAAAAAGAATGCAGATGTAATATATACAGACTTTGCAAAAGCCTTCGACAAAATGCGTGCTAAAGGAATAACAGGAAAAGTCTGTCGATGGATCTATAATTTCTTCACTAACAGAACACAGAGAGTAGTCGTCAACAGAGTAAAGTCCGAGGCAGCTACGGTGAAAAGCTCTGTTCCACAAGGCACAGTACTCGCTCCCATCTTGTTCCTCATCCTCATATCTGACATAGACAAGGATGTCAGCCACAGCACCGTGTCTTCCTTTGCAGATGACACCCAAATCTGCATGACAGTGTCTTCCATTGCAGACACTACAAGGCTCCAGGCGGACATCAACCAAATCTTTCAGTGGGCTGCAGAAAACAATATGAAGTTCAACGATGAGAAATTTCAATTACTCAGATATGGTAAACACGAGGAAATTAAATCTTCATCAGAGTACAAAACAAATTCTGGCCACAAAATAGAGCGAAACACCAACGTCAAAGACCTGGGAGTGATCATGTCGGAGGATCTCACCTTCAAGGACCAAAAACATTGTATCAGTCGCATCTGCTAGAAAAATGACAGGATGGATAATGAGAACCTTCAAAACTAGGGATGCCAAGCCCATGATGACACTCTTCAGGTCACTTGTTCTATCTAGGCTGGAATGTTGCTGCACACTAACAGCACCTTTCAAGGCAGGTGAAATTGCTGACCTCGAAAATGTACAGAGAACCTTCACGGCGTGCATAACGGAGATAAAACACCTCAATTACTGGGAGCGCTTGAGGTTCCTGAACCTGTATTCCCTGGAATGCAGGCGGGAAAGATACATGATTATATACACCTGGAAAATCCTAGAGGGACTAGTACCGAACTTGCACATGAAAATCAGTCACTATGAAAGCAAAAGACTTGGCAGACGATGCAACATCCCCCCAATGAAAAGCAGGGGTGTCACTAGCACGTTAAGAGACCATACAATAAGTGTCAGGGGCCCAAGACTGTTCAACTGCCTCCCAGCATACATAAGGGGGATTACCAACAGACCCCTGGCAGTCTTCAAGCTGGCACTGGACAAGCACCTAAAGTCGGTTCCTGACCAGCCGGGCTGTGGCTCGTACGTTGGTTTGCGTGCAGCCAGCAGTAACAGCCTGGTTGATCAGGCTCTGATCCACCAGGAGGCCTGGTCACAACCGAGCTGCGGTGGCGTTGACCCCGGAACTCTCTCCAGGTAAACTCGCCCTAAACTAAATATACAATACTCAATACATATACTTAAATTTACCAAAAAAACCTCCCAATTACCTAAATCAAAATTGAAATCATTATACCTAACTTAATACTACACTGAAGAGTAAATACCGGCACAAAACTATATAGCCTTACACCATATTGTAGCATTCTCATACTGTAAACTACTTTCACCAATGCTTAATGTTATAACTTAAATATTTACTATTGATATACACAAGCTTCAAAATACAGTGGACCCCCGCTTAACGATCACTTCCCAATGCGACCAATTATGTAAGTGTATTTATGTAAGTTCGTTTGTACGTGTATGTTTGGGGGTCTGAAATGGACTAATCTACTTCACAATATTCCTTATGGGAACAAATTCGGTCAGTACTGGCACCTGAACATACTTCTGGAATGAAAAAATATCGTTAACCGGGGGTCCACTGTACTTTCAAATTGTCCCAATGTAATATCACCAGATTATAACTTGATTGTAACTTAACTGTAACTTACTATGATCAATTTCTCTAGTATTAAGTAGTCTGTAAGCCATTAATTTAGTCTGCCTATGGGCATGATAGTGGCTCTCTTTGCAATGTAACTCGTTATTGTAACTACAGAAACTCAATGTAAACTTGCAAAGAAATAAAAATTGTGTTGTATTGTACCTAAATTGGAAGGGGGGAAGTGCCAAACCCATAGGGGGATCATGTGCGTGGGGGAAATGGTAGGCAAGTCAGGTTCGTTCCATGGAAGGGAAGGATTAAGGTCGGTTCCTCGGATCAAGTCGTCACCAGCATTAAGATACCTGAGAGGACAGAGGATAAAGTATCTTGTTAATTAGTACATGATGTAATATTCTCTTGAGGCAGCATATGGAAATAAATCACTCTGTCTTGACCTTTTTTTTTTCTTGGTGGGGGGGGGGGCACATTCTCATACATAGTGTATGATAATTGTACTTGTGTGTACCTAAATTAACTTACTTCACACTGGATTAGTAAATAAGTTTATTTAGGCACAGGTAAGATGAGATTTTCTTGGGATTTTTAACCCTGTAGGGTTAGCCAGCTAAGTTAACCCAAGAAAGTCAGTGTGTCATTGAAGACTGTCTTATTTCCATTGGTGTCCTTCAGTCTTGTTCCCCCAGGATGCGATCCATACCAGGCAACTAACACCCTGGTAGCTACTTACTGCTAGGTGAATGGGATAATAGGTGTAAGGAAACACGCCCAGTGTTTCCACCCGGCCAGGGATCGAACCACGTACACTGTGTGAGGCAAGGGTATTGCCAACCAGGCCATGGAACGCAATTATCATACTTAGTGTAAATTACTTAGGATGACCCCCAAAAAGTCAGTGGCTTATTTCCATTGGGTTCCGAGTAAATGAAGGTTTATGTTGGTCTTGTATGTAGTAATTTGAAATGTTTACTATAATAAAGATAATGACAAAATTTATTTCTAAAAAATAGTGTACAGTTAATACAGGAGTGCTTAACATTATTGGCATAAAGGCCCTGG